ATAGATAAATAAATATGTAGAAAGCTAACTTGACCTAACCTGTAGCAACTTTACCGCCTCTCGTAACTCAGAAAAAAGAAGTTTTAAAGTATCAAACAATTGAAATATACTTAAAAAAGTATACACCAAATACAATTCAACATAAATTACTTACCTACACGTCGATTTTCTGTAAAAAAACCACAAAAGTTTCTTCGTTGTCTCTGCGAGTACAATTGACCACACATAGATTACTGAATATATACCATACGTAGACAGAGAATTCTAGGATTCTCTGTCTACGATACTAATGTTGTTCAAAACGACTATAAATCAATAGCACGCTACAGACTATAAACTATAAATTTCTAGCGCACTATTAATTACGCTATATTATAGCGCGCTATTTATAAGAAAGCGTGTAGGAGGCCGGCAAGCACGTTAAGTTTTGCAGCACGCTATATCACGTAGCACGTTACATTACATGTCGTTCATTGGATAGACCGCGTGCTGTACAAGAACATTATTTCGTAATAAGTCACATTTTTGACTAAAATAAAATAAAGCGGTAAATAAAAACGCTTTTTTATACTTTTCAAGCTTACGACTTTCTATAATCCTAAAAATATTTTTAAGGCATGTACTTTTTAAAACGAAATAAAATTAATTATTTTTTATTATAATTGATGTAAATGTTATTTTAACCTCAATATAAATTATAAATCAAATAAAGGTGTATTTAAAAGTTTATTGATTGTATTTATGAAAATCAACTACATATTTATATACACTACTAAATACAGTTTTGTATCTCTATTTTATTTACGTTTAAAAACAGTAGTTAAGCTTCTTTTATAGCAGACAACTGTGTTTTTCGATCACTTAGTATACACTAACTAAACAACGTCTAACACTAAATTAGGTCGCGCGCGATGAATAGCGTGCTACTACAAGATCAAATTTGCGTCACACGTCCTCTGCCAACAGCGCTGCTGCAAGAACTAGTTGCCGCTAGATATTAATTAATACTTAATAGCGCATTGCGCAATAGCGCCATGGCGACTACTTACATAGCACGCGCTATGTGTTATGGAGAGACCATATATACTAGACTACTGTTCATAAAAGATAGCTTGATCTCTGCGACAGCTGTCAGTAAAAACACGCCTATGAAGTCCTGTAGTATCCAAACTTTATAATTAAGTTCAACTATATAAATAATGAAATACAGTTATTGCAGTTTTTTTTAAAATACGAGTAAATAAGGCTTCTATTTTATTTGAAATGATCCCAAATTGAATGCGAATTATGGGCAACTACGCGTAGCTTTGTAGTGGTGGTTAAGAATTTCCACTACCCCATATCTTCCCGTGGGTGTCGTAAAAGGCGACAGAGAGAAACAGGCAGGAGATGGGCAGCAGCATCTTCCAGATAACAGCAACTGTACGACAAAAAAAAACTGCGGTTGCCAACCCGCTCGCGAAGCGTAACAACTATGGCGATATACCCCCCATGAATAATTACACAAATAGACGGCCCCCAGTCCCCGGCGGCCCTGCTATTCCTGGCTACGGTGGCGACCATGGTAACGGCGGGCCAAGGGGTGCTAAGAATCTCCGGTGGAGGTTCGGTTGCCACCTACGACGACTCGACCTGGCAACATTTAACGCACGCACCCTGAGGATTGATGATAAGATCCTGGAGCTGGAAGAAGAGATAGACAAGTTGCGCTGGAATATTATAGGATTATCCGAGGTCCGAAGAGAGGGGGGAGGACACGGTGATTCTCGAATCCGGCAACTTGTTCTATCACCGGGAGGGCGACCATCTGTCCCAAGGAGGTGTCGGATTTATCGTCCACAAGTCTCTCGTCAACAACGTTGTAAAGATTGGGAGTGTGTCGAAGGTCGCGTACCTGATACTCAGAATCACCAAACGGTATTCGCTGAAGGTCATACAGGTTTACGCACCAACCTCGGCACATCCCGATGAGGAGGTGGAAGAAATGTATGAGGATATTTCCAAAGCCATGCATTCCTCCAAAACCCACTACACGGTGTTGATGGTAGACTTCAACGCAAAACTAGGTACAAGAGAAAACGGTGAGCTGATGTTAGGGAAATTTGGAGTAGGGCAACGGAACCGAAGGGGCCAGCAGCTGGCTGACTTTATGGAGAAAGAGGGACTCTTTATGATGAACTCTTTCTTCCAGAAGCGGCCCCACAGGAAGTGGACCTGGTCGAGCCCCGACGGTTCGACAAAAAATGAGATTGACTTCATTATGACGACCAGACGCCAACTGTTCAGTGATGTCTCAGTGATCGCAAGGGTGAAAATTGACAGCGATCACCGAATGGTTAGGGGCACACTGAACCTAAACGTTAAGTTGGAGAGGTGTCTGAGGTGAATGAAGTCAACGCTCCGTCCCCCTCGTGCTCTAATCCAGAATCCCGAAAACTTTCAGCTCGAGTTACGTAACCGCTTTCAGTGCCTACAAGATTGCAATGCAGTGGACGGTATGAATGACAAGCTCGTGGAAACTGTCCATGCGGTCGGAGCTAAGTTCTGCAAGACCCGCCGCAGAAGAACACAAAAACTCTCCGATCACACTCTTAATCTCATGGCTGTTAGACGGGAGATGAGGCTGCAATCGTCAACAGATTTGACAGCATACAGGCAACTGAACAGACAGATCTCCAAATGCATGCGGCGAGACTTACGCAACTTTAATACTGCTCGTATTAAAGAAGCGATCGAGCGGAACCAGGACTCCAAAGTCTTTGCCAGAGATCTGTCTGCAAGAGAGCAAGGAGCAAGAGAGTAACTGTCAAAGCTGAAGACTGAGTGTGGCAGCATCGTTTCTGGGACACCTGAGATTTTGAGTGAGATTGAGAGGTTCTATGGGCAGTTGTACACATCATCGTCGGAGCCACACGCAAGTGTGAGTAACGATCCAAAAGCAAGTCTTATCCGACACTATTCCGATGATATCCCGGACGTCAGTCTAAGCGAGATTAGAATGGCTCTCCAGCACCTTAAAAACGGCAGGGCCCCAGGCGAGGATGGAATTACAGCGGAGCTTCTGAAAGCGGGTGGAACACCGGTATTTGAAGTCCTTCAGAAGCTCTTCAATTCCGTCCTCCATGGTGGTACTGCTCCAGAGGCGTGGAGCAGAAGTGCGGTGGTCTTGTTCTTTAAAAAAGGCGACAACGCTCTCTTGAGGAACTACAGACCGATTTCCCTTCTGAGCCGCGTCTACGTGCTGTTTTCGAGAGTCATTACGAATCGTCTCGCACGCAGACTGGACGACTTCCAGCCTCCCGAACAAGCCGGTTTTCGAAAAGTCTTCAGTACCATAGACCATATACATACCCTGCGGCAGATTGTACAGAAGACTGAAGAGTACAATCTGTCACTTTCCCTGGCGTATGTGGACTATGAGAAAGCCTTTGATTCCGTCGAAATTTGGGCGGTGCTACAGTCCCTTCAGCGGTGCCAAGTTGACTGTCGGTAAATCGAAGTGCTGAAGTGTTTGTACAGGAGGGCTACGATGGCTATCCGAGTACAGAACCAGAGCTCGAAACCTATCCAACTGCAGACAGGTGTAAGACAGGGTGACGTTATATCCCCGAAACTCTTCACCGCTGCATTGGAAGACGTTTTCAAGCTACTGGACTGGAAAGGATACGGTATTAACATCAATGGCGAGTACATCATTCACCTTCGATTTGCCGACGATATACTCCTTATGGCAGAATCGCTGGAGGACTTAAGCACTATGCTCAATGACCTCAATAGTGCCTCCCAACGGATAGGTCTTAAGATGAACATGGACAAAACAAAGATTATGTTTAATGTCCATGTCACACCTATGCCGGTAGTTGTTGGGAGCACTATGCTCGGAGTTGTTGACGAGTACGTTTACCTAAGACAATAGTCCGACTAGGTAAGTCGAACTTCGACCGAGAGGTCAATCGACGGATTCAACTCGGCTGGGCAGCGTTCGGGAAATTACGACATATCTTCTCGTCAGGTATACCTCAATCTCTAAAAACTAGGTTGTACAACCAGTGCGTGTTGCCAGTGATGACTTACGGATCTGAGACGTGGTCCTTCACTGCTGGCCGTATGAGGATGCTCAAGGTCGCTCAGCGAGCTATGGAGAGGGCTATGCTCGGAGTTTCTCTGCGTGATAGACTCAGAAATGAGGATATCCGCAGTAAAACCGTAAAAGAGTGACCGACATAGCCCAACGGTTCTCGAGTGGCAGCCTCGTACCGGTAGGCGTAGTGTAGGGCGACCCCCCACTAGATGGAGTGAGGACCTGGTAAGATATGCAGGAAGTCGATGGATGCAGGTGGCTCAGAACCGTGCTTTGTGGCATTACTTGGGGGAGGCTTATGTTCAGCAGTGGACTTGTGAAGGGCTGTAATGATGATGATTATGATATATATATATATATATATATATATATATATATATATATATATATATATATATATATATATATATATATATATATATTATAGAGATGACCACATAAAATTAAGTCACACTACTTGACAGTTAACCAAATTGCCGGCTTGAAAAACTTTTTTGTGATACCACAATTTATCATAAAATCTACCAATACGGCAAAATTTGCATTGACTGCAACAGATAACAAGATATTCCCTAATATACAGCGTAATGTATGCTGTGGTAAAGTTGCTCAAGGAAAGTAAAAATGCCACAGTTGACGTTATCTTATGTTCACAAAAAGCAAGTAAATAAAAAAGTAGTGTTTGATCCAGTAAATGCACGTCGCTTGGAGAAGTTTGGAAGTAACATAGTAAAAAAACTTCCATCACTTTCATACCAAAATAATCCAGATTTTTTGTATGGAACATTATTTAATCTTATTTGCAATGAATTTAATAATACTTTTAATTCTAAAACATTCTTCTTGAACAATCGCAAGGCATTTAATGAAGAACTAGACTCAGCCATACATGGAGAATTTAGCTCATATTAACCAGTGTATGAATTGTTATGCCTTCGACCATACGAAGCACTCGTGCTACAGCACCAAAAAGGATCCAACCATATTCACGGTCACAGCTACGGGAGCTACCATCACGGTATGCTCCAACTGCAAACACGAGGGGCACGGAGCCAATCAGGTTAACTGCCCTGCGTTCCAGAAACAGCTGGCCATCAGAGAACGAGTCCTGCTGAACCGCCAGGCCAAGGCCAAAGAAAGATCAGAAGCTGCGCGGGTCAGGAAGGAGACTACTTTCGCGCAAGCTCTGAGAAGCAACAAGGATGAAGAGCTCGGCCCTACGCCTCCCTCACCACCAAGGCAGACAGCACTGACTGCGTCCACCGACCAGCCAAACATGGACATCCAGCTGGTCATCCTCATGTGCATGGACTCTGTGGTAGCTGAAGTAAACAACATGAGAACAGAAATGAACAGCCTGAAGACAGAACTACTCATAATCAAAAGAGCCAAAATTGCAACCACTGTTAATGGATAATAGACAACCTGCGGAGACAAAGAAAATAAGAAATGTGTGCATATTACATCTAAACGCGCAAAGTATGTAAAAGAAGTTCAGTGAGATTAAAAATCTGGCGCAGAAGCACCGACCCTCGGTGATCGTGATCAATGAGTGCAGGATAAACTTCGAACAGATTCAATATCCCAGATTATGACAAGATCTATCACGCTACTGAACCACACCTGGTCACCGCCATGTACGTCCGGCGAGGCTGCCGCTGGGTTGAGACGGAGGTGACCCCGGGCTGGGTAGACGAGCGACGCAACATCGAGGGAGTGGCCATCAAACTCTACACCAATCACTCAACTGGGGAGTACCTCAAAATCAAGGGACTATATCTCCGAATTCCTGACCAGAGCGATCTGACCGTTGAGCTCGAGGAGACCCTACTAGACGAGCCATTCATCATCGTTGGCGATCTCAACCTGCATATGAGAGAACTACTACACTCAAGCGATAGAGGTCAGGGAGTCACAGTCAGGGACGCAATTGCTCAAGGACTGTGCTATCTGGTGGCCTGCCCTCGAGACCAACCAGCACAGGGGTGTCGATCCAGGACACCGCGATCGTCACCCACCAGCAACTAGACTGTAGGACGAGACAACTGGAAGACGTTAGATCGGATCATCTTCCGTAGCTACTCGACGTGGCGCTCCCGTGCGATGTAGAGGAGTCTAAAATGAGGAACACCAAGAGGATAGCCGCCAACCTGGAACTGAGAAATCAGTACCAGGAGGCCCTGGGCAGATGCGCTGTGGAACGGCTGCCAGTTAAAATCAACACAGAGGAAGAGTGCGAGAGATACGTCGAGCGACTGGAGGATATTATCACCGAGACGCTCGATAAACTTGCTCCCCTTCATACACCGAACAGAAGAGAACTGCTTACAGACAACATTAATGCTCTACTGGATGAAAGAAGAGCAATGAGAAAACTTAAGCATCGTGCGAGACTGGGCCCACTGATCGTCTATGAGGCGGCCAGAACATTATACAACAAGGCCAAACACGATGCCGCTAAGGCTTTAGCCGAGTATAAAGAGAAAGACTGGATCTCCAAACTAGATGAGCCCAATGAGAATCGAGGCCAGATGTGGAGAATCCAGCGAAATCTCAAGAAACCGATAACCAGACCCCATATCGCAGGATGCAACACCGAGGGGGAGACGGTAAACAGCCTGGTGGACGCTGCCATCGTTAAGACGGCGCACATCGACAAAGAAGACGAGGGAACGGAACACTACACTCCGTTCCAGCCGCTAGAGCCAACCTGCCTTGAAGAAATCAAGACTGCTCTGGCAAAATTTAAGAATAAAAAAGCGCCCGGCCCCGACAACATCAAAGCGGACGCACTGAAACTTGGTGGCAAAGTATTTCGGGAGACATACCTGCTGGTTGCGCAGTACGTGCTGCGGACTGGCTACTTTCCAACCAGATGGAAACTCGGCACCTGCATATTCAACCACAAGCCGGGTAAGAGCCACAAAGAAGCGAAGTCATATCGCCCCATCACGCTGCTCAACATCATGGGTAAGCTGATGGAGCGACTGATTCTCGCCGGCCTGAAGCCCACGGTTGAGAAGCTCCAGCCTCATTATTAACACGGATTCACCGAGCTCCGTGGCACTGCAATTCAGATACTACGCACCGGCAAAATCATTGCCGACGCTATCAATGAAGGAAGGAGCGTGGCGATGGTATCGACGGATCTGTCTAAGGCCTTCGATTCCATCAACCATCAGGGTCTGGTGAAGAAGCTGCAGAACGGCAACGTTCGCAACAACATCATAAAGATGCTAGAAAACTATCTAGCATAGTGATTCCCAAAGTGGTCTATATCGACCCCTAGGGGTCTATGACAACCTGCAAGGGGTCTACGTCAGCGAAAAAAAATTTGGGGTCCATGAAATGAAAATGGGGGTCCACGATAGTGGATCTCAACACATACACTGACAGTACCTATTTACTTACATCATACTATCTTATAATATCAAAACATATACATTATTTATAAAAGTACCTATGAAGTAAAAAAATTATTATATATGTTTATAAAATTGTGTAAGTTGTAGGATGTTGGTATTCGCTTTGTGGTCGCAATACATTTTGAACTTGTAAAAATCTGAGAGTACTGCTGCGTCTCAGAGCTTCGCTACCTTGCACCGACTTGTTCAATTCGTCACTCTATAAATATGAATGTGGGACAAATACGTTTATTCGTTTCCTGAATCTTGAAAAGGAAAGTGCTAAGAAAATATTTTAAAAAATATAAACAGATAGTATATCACACAAATTATAGTGAGTCAGTGTAATTTTGTTTGAGAGTGCTGGAGAAAAGTAAGTGCATTATTTTTATTAAATTTTAGTTTTGTACTCGTAGTTAGCAAAGATAGATAAATTACGCCAATCATGACTTTAGTTATTAGTAGTTTAATATTCAATCATGCAAAATTACACGAGTACTCCTCAATAGTTTCTTTTTGAAAGTTTTATAATCACATTTTATAATACAAATACAATCGGTATTATAATTACAGTGCAATCTTCTTAATTCGAGCTAATTGTTGCAAGAAGATGTTCGAATTATGGAATGTTTTCGGAAAAATCAAAATATATTTTTAATGTACAGCTGCTGGATTTTCTGTCTTATTTAAATAGTTTAATTTTGCCCACACATGACTGCTGCCATGTCCGAATCTAAAAAGAAATGTAGACAGTACAGTGTCGATTATTTGAAATTTGGCTTCATTCCATCATTGCCGGACAAACAATTGTCTATGTGCCTTTTATGCAACAAAGTTTTGAGCAATGACGCAATGAAACCATCTAAACTGCAAGAAACACTCAAAGATAAATTTCAGAAGAGACCTACACTGGACAGAATGTTCGCTTCGACGTCACAAAGAAATGATGATGGTTTGCGGGCGTCTTACAATATCTCGTTACTTATAGCAAAATCCGGAAAACCGCATGCTATCGGAGAAAAGTTACTTTTGCAAGCCGTTGAAGAGGTTTTAAAAACTGTTTTACACAAACCTGCATCTGATATCATTAAAAGAATTCCCTTAAGCAACAATACTGTTGAAAGACGTATTGATGAAATGAGTTCTGATATTGAAAGCTTCTTATGTAATTATTTGCAAACGACCCATTTCTCTATACAACTGGACGAGTCAACTTTACCTGATAATGCAGCATTATTATTGGCATATGTTCGTTTTATTATGAATCAAGAAATCTACGAAGAACTGCTCTTCGCAAGAACTTTGATAACCGACACTAAAGGTGAATCAATATTTCATGTTTTGAAGGATTACTTTATTGAAAAAGCAATTCCTTTATCAAATATAATATCAGTAGCTGCAGATGGAGCACCTGCCATGATTGGACGTTATCGTAGATTTATAAGCTATTTAAAACAAAATGTGTCTGGGGTGTTAGCAATACATTACGTCATCCATCGACAACATTTAGTTGCTAAAAATTTGAGTATTAGATTGCATGAATCACTTCATTTAGTCATTGATGCAGTAAACCGAATCCGAAGCAACGCGTTGAATACGCGGTTATTTGCGCAGTTGTGTGAAGAAAATGACGAACACTTTCATCAATTATTCCTTCACACTGAAGTACGCTGGCTGTCGAAAGGCTTATGTTTAACAAGATTTTTTGCACATTTTGAGACTATTTTAGAATTTCTGGATACTAAAGATAAATTTTTAAAAGAAAATTGAATGAAGAGGAAAACAGACCTCGCCTATTTAACAGATTTGTTTACAAAATTTAATATGGTTAATTTGCAATTACAAAGCGACAGTTTAAATTGGATTAAAACAAAGTCTATCTTATCAGCATTTTTTGCCAGAGTTAAACTAATGAAGCAAAATATTGGACGGGGCGAATTTTCTCAGTTCCCCAATTTGTCACAGACAAGCTGCTAGGAAGACGACGTTTCACCTTACGTTCAACATTTAAATGCCCTATATTCAGATTTTGAATCTAGGTTTGGTTATAGGTTAGGTTTAAGGATATTTTGACTAATTGATATTTTGGTAATACCACCGTGGATAATTAATCCATATGGTGACATAGAAGAAACTAATGTCATAATACAAGAGGAACTGACTGAACTAAGTACAAACGAAGACCTTAAGGTTCAGTTTAAAAACGGATATCAGCAATTCTGGCTGCAAAACAACATACCCATTACTTACCCGTATTATGGAATATAGCGAGGAAATTTTTAATTTCCTTTCCTTTTTGAAAGCAGGCAAAAGCGTTGAAAGAAGTTCACGCTTAAGTAAATAATAGGAGAAGATAACTTACTCCGTTTAAATGGGCGTTTACCTTTTAAGTCTAATTTGACCGAGGAAAGTAGAAAACCTGTCGTATTAGACGGTAAACACGAAATCGTTAAAATGATGATTAGAGAAGTTCATCATCATTTTGGACATGCCAATCACCAGACGGTGATGAATGAGGTGAACCAAAAAGTTTATGTCTTGAACCTGCGTAATGTAGTACGAAGTGTGTCACATCATTGTCAGTGGTGCAGGACATACAGGTCAAAACCGCAGAACGTGCCACAAAGAAATATTCCTCTGGAGAGAATAGCTCACAATGAACCACCTTTTACATGCTCAGCCGTAGATTATTTCGGACTATGAGTGTGACTATAGGAAGGCGACACGAAAAACGTTGGGGTGTTTTATTCACGTGTCTGACCACCAGAGCAGTACATCTGGAATTAGCAGCCTCATTGACACCAGCGTCAATGATAATGGCATTGAGGCGATTTATCGCCAGAAGAGGAAAACCAGCCGTTATATACAGCGATAACGGGACAAATTTCAAAGCTGCGAATAAAGAATTTTTGAGAGCATGCGAAGAATGCTATGAGGGCATGAAAAATGAGTCATTTAAAAAATATATTAAATGGAAATTTATACGTCCGGGAGCACCGCACATGGGTGGCGC